CGTGTTGTTTAACGTTGTGTTGTCTGGATGACCCAATCTTTCGTGCCACGGTGATTCGCTCGCGCAGTGTCTTGGTGAGCGCCTGTATAGGTCGGAGTTGGAATAGAAGCCGGTGGAGTATCGTCGATGAGAGCTGGTGCCGTTGAAGAACCCGTGATTGGTGTCGTAGTTGTTGTTGCTGCCACCGATGTTGTCTCTGTTGCTGCCGATGTTGTCTCTGCTGCTGTTGATGTTGTCTCTGCTTGTTGAATTGTTGCTAACGCTCTTGTTCTTTCTGCTTCAGGTATGGTGTGTGAGTGCCAAAATCCTTCAGGACTGAAGTCGGGGTCGAGATCTGGTGGATGTGTCCAAGAGGTGAAGTTGACGATGGCGTCGCTGTCGGCGGTACCTTGGTCTGGAACGAAGTCAAGGACGAAGACATTGTTCTTTAAGACTGCCTTGCCGATGTAGAGTCCGCCTTTCCCGTGGTACATCTTGAACTCCTGATTGGTGCTGTCTGCTTCGAGATGAATTCCCTTCGCCATGAGTTGACTGACGCTGAGTAAGTTATAACCGAGTGTCAAGATAGTGGCACAAGTGGTAGTTAGGTTTAAGTGAGGGCCTAGGCTTAGTAGCCTAGGCCAAGGGAGTCGAGGGAGTTTGTGCCAAGCAGAGGGGCGAGAATTGGAGAATGAATGACTTCACTATAGGTTTGCAAGAACATATAGCAAATGAACAAAGAAGGTGCACCACCTAACAAAGTTTATAATAACTACACTAACTAAGCTACAGGCAGTTATAGATATATTCTAACACTCCCCCGTAACTGCCAGAAGCAGGAGTCTGTGCAGCGACACAACCTGGATGGGTACACCACGAACTGAGAAAACAGCAACAGCAGGCAACAGGCAAGGTTATAAAGCAGGTACAGCAGCAAAGGGGGGCCAGGCACTCCTGCCACCCCTTTACTCTCCTCCCCCCCCCCCCCCACCTCAGAGGGACTGGGGCTGGATGTCTCACACCCGCCACCCAAATGTCACTCCCCTGGCTCCCCCACACCCTCACACCCTCCCCCCAGCGGCAGCTGCAGCAGTGGGAACGAAAGGAGGAGAAGGGGAAGGGACCATACCACCCATCACCCCCATACCCGCCACCTCCATACCCTCCCCCCCACGGCTGCACGTGCAGCAGGAAGAAGAAGGAGGAGGGGGGGGGGGGGGGGGGGGGGGGGGGGGGGGGGGTGGCGGGGAAGAAGTTGCCCCACGGCCACAAAAGGGTGGCGCACAGGGAAGGGCAGGGGCGGGTAGGGTAGGGGCGGCTGCACCGAGTGCAGGCGCGTGTGAGGCACGGGGGGCTGCACCGAGTGCAGGCGCATGTGAGGCAGTGGCGGCTGCTCCGAGGGCAGGCGCGGGTGGGGCAGGAGCGGGTAGGGTAGGGGCGGCTGCACCGAGTGCAGGCGCATGTGAGGCACGGGGGGCTGCACCGAGTGCAGGCGCATGTGAGGCAGTGGCGGCTGCTCCGAGGGCAGGCGCGGGTGGGGCAGGGGCGGCTGCTCGAAGGCAGGCGCAAGGTGAGGAAGAGGCGCCGTCGCGGGCGCCAGGGGCGGGTTCGCAGCGGCCCAAGGAACCGTCGTGGGCGCCAGGGGCGGGTCCGCGGCGGCTCAGGCCACCGTCACGGGCGCCAAGGGCGGGTCCGTGGCGGCGTAAGGCACCGTCGCGGGCGCCAGAGGCGGGTCCGCGGCGGCTCAGGGCACCGTCGCGGGCGCCAGGGGCGGGTCCGCGGCGGCGCAAGGCACCGTCGCGGGCGCCAAAGGCGGGTCCGCGGCGGCTCAGGGCACCGTCGCGCGCCATGGGGCGCACGACGGGCAGGCAGGCAGGCAGGCAGGCACCGTCGCGGGCGCCAGGGGCGGATCCGCTGCGGCTCAGGGCAGAACAAACGTCACGCGCCACCCGTGCGCGGGACATAACGAAAATCGCCACGCGCCAGAGGCGCGCGACCGGAAAAACAGATGCGGAAGCGTGAGGCTGGCCCACAGGCCAGGACGTAAAAAGCTCTAATACCATGTCAAGATAGTGGCACAAGTGGTAGTTAGGTTTAAGTGAGGGCCTAGGCTTAGTAGCCTAGGCCAAGGGAGTCGAGGGAGTTTGTGCCAAGCAGAGGGGCGAGAATTGGAGAATGAATGACTTCACTATAGGTTTGCAAGAACATATAGCAAATGAACAAAGAAGGTGCACCACCTAACAAAGTTTATAATAACTACACTAACTACAGCTACAGGCAGTTATAGATATATTCTAACACCGAGTCCTTCTGCGATTAGGACCTTCGACATTTGCAGAATAACGTTGGTTTCTCGAGATTGAAGTTGAACTATCCCTTGTCGTCGTGTGTGTAGGTTTTGGTTGTTGGCGACGGTGATTATGACTTCGCAGTGAAGTTGGTGTTCCCGTTGAACGAAGCGACCCGAGGAGCACATGTGCTGTCCGCAGCAGCTGTCCAAGAACCAGGTATCTTTTCCGGACGGCTCGCTCTGGGCGATGGCTGCATATGTCGGGTTGGGCTCCAGTGATTCGCGGCGAGGAGTGCTCTCGTCGAGCTGTTTTTCTAGTGAGTAGTACGGTGGTGATCCGGTGATGCAGGAGTCTGTCGTTCTTATCATGCAGCTCAAGATGTTTCTTGTACCTTGTGCAGGTTTTGTCGTTGATGTCGTTGAAGACTCTACTTGATTGGTGGTATGCGCCTGTGTAGAAGCCACTTGGCTGCTTGATGGCCGAAGTTGTCGTTGCGGCAGCGTTGGCTGCTGCTGATTCGGGCAGTGAGTGCGAGGGTGTCCTGACGTTTTGCAGAGATGGCAGAATGGTGGTACGTGCTGTTGAGCTTGATGTTTGTTTTGTCGATTGCTGTTGTTGTTGTAGCGCTGTTGAGTATGAAACGCGAACTCTGGTGTTGATGCTCTTTTCTTGTGTCGTTCTTTATATAGGTCCATATCCTGCTGTTCAGCGTGAATTTCGGCGCAGAGTGCCGCTTCGGAGATCTTCCCATGAGCTCGGAGGATAGCTCGAGTGGAGCGCCAATGAGGATCGAGGCCAGTGATGACAATTGTCACTTTGGCTTCTTCGGATATCGATCCTCCGCATCGAAGGAGTCTGTCGCACAGTCCACGACAACGGCTGATACACGTCATCCCTTTCTCACCTGGTTTCATTTCTACTGTTGTCAGCTGTGCCATGAGGCGACTTTGATTAACACTGTCTGTTGCTTGATACAGGTCCTTCAGGTGGTTGTACGCGAGCTCGGCGGAGTTGCCGTACACTCGATAAGACCGGATGTTCTGCTCTTCATTCGGAGTTACGTTTCGCAGAAGAATTGTATACGCCATTAGTGACTTATACGTGTACTGTTGCTTGTCGTACTGCGTCCCGTGTATTGGGTATGGCAGGGACCCGTCGAAGAATCCGAGAATCTGCGCGCCTTCAATCATTAGCTCAAACTCGAATGACCAGGTATAGAAGTCCTTTCCGTCAAAGGGTCTCGATGTTTGCAGTTTCAAAACGTGTGCGAGCTGTGATTGAACCTGAAGCCCGTCCAGTGTCTTCTCTTGTCCATGTGAAGGCTGTTGGTGTGGCGTGAAGCTGATGGAGCCACGTTGAGGTTCGTACAGGGCAAAGGTAGGTTGCTGCTTGTTTCCGCGCGCATAGGATGAACCGTAAGGCTCATTGGAGTAACCCCATTGTTGTTGTCGCTGCTGTTTGATTGCACAGGTGCTGTTTGCTGGTGCTACTCGTAGAAGGACATGAAGGAGAAAATTTTCTCCATCATACTTGGGTCGAAGCCTGTTGTTTGATTCCCGAGAGTTTCGGTAGACTCCGCAGCTGGTCTTGTTACTGTGCCTTCCTCTGTCTGTAGGCCAGAGGCTGGAGGTGGAGTAGGAGTAGTGCCGGGAGATCCGTTGGAGGAACTCCTTTCCTTCTGAGTTGCCATGCCTTGTGCTGTTGTAGGGGTTCGAATAGTTGATCTTGCCTTGGAGGCTCTGATACCATGTTGGGCTGAAGAAAGCCCTTAGGATCTTTCAAGGCTAAGACTTGGAGTAGCGATGTTGTAATTGCGGAAGCGTATAAAGTTGTTGAACCACCTTGCACTAGTGTGTGAGAGCAAGATGAATTGTTAAAGCAAAGAGATACAAGGATACATATATGATTACAAGGAATACGAAGTGGTGCGATTAACTGTTTTACTGTTGCAGTTCGATACAGTAGCGACTCGGGCAACTGCTCAATACCGAGTCAGTTGTTTGTCCTTGCTGTCGCGCTGTATTTTCGTCGAGTCAAAGGTCGCTGACCTTTGACCTTCGCGTAACCTCTAGCTGTTACGTTTGTTGACTCGCGTGTTGCTTTACTGTAGCCTGCTTCGATCGTGTTATTGCTTCGATACTTCAGAAGCGTTAAATTACTTGTTTCCAACAAGAAGCCCTTCAAGAATGTGTGCATATGCTCTATGTGGTGCTGCATGCTCTATGTGGTGCTACATGCTGTTGCCATTCAAGCTCTGAGAGCATGTTACGAGGGAGGTTGGGGATGCTGGAATTTACACTTCTCCTTGAGTTGGATTTTCGGGTTCTTAAGTTTCATTCAACCTGTGGATTTGAGCATTGAGAGGAAAGTGGGTGATTGCTATGAACGTGTATACAATGCAGTAACAAATGGCTGTATCATGCAGGAAGGAAAGGCTGCTGGTACTGAAAAAGAGTCTGCTTAATAGTTGTTACACCCCATTGTTTAAAAAAATGTCAATGTCGTAAGGTTTCTATGCTTCGTGCTCTTTTGAATGCGTAGGCTATTGAGAGGCGTGTCTAACTGATACGGTGTTGTTGACTGTAACAAAATGTGATTACATTGCAGGTTGCTTGCCGGAAGGCGGACGGGCGGCTGGAGGAAGAGGTAGCATCAGTTCTGGAGCAGATGGCAAAGCAGGAGGGCAGGGAGGGGAGGCGGCAGGTGCAGGCAGAACAGGTGCTCAAAACATCAGTCGACAACGATGTTGATAGTGGTGCTGGGGGAGAGGAGGCGGGGGTAGGAAAGGGGGAAGATGGTGAGGATGGGAGCAGAAGCAACAAGGCAGCAGAAGCACCCAAGAGAAACCGGCCTGTTCGAGTGGAGTAGCATGAGCTCGTGGGACGGGTAGCTTAAATGTTGGTGTCTGGTGTACTGCTGTTGCGCACAAAATGTGGCTATAATGCTACCGTAGGAAGGAATTAAGCTCTAATACCATGTGAAAAGGTGACAGAATGAACTAGAAAGGTGCATACAAGGGGTACTACAAGCTCTACAGTACAGCCCAACCTACTGGTAGCTTACAAATGTACACCTACAAAACATAGTGTACATTTTGACACGCGATGCAATACAACCCCAGTAAGGAATTGGAAGTGCTAACAGCTGTAACTGCAGATTGAATCTGTTATTAGTAGACCAGCAGTGATCAAAGAGGCCGTTTATACCATGTTGTGACAGCATCTTTCAGTGTAACACCTTTGTCCATCAATGAATCCCATTTTGGGCTGGTTAGTGCGCAGTGCGCGATTGCGGGTGTAACAAACGTGCTGACGGTGGGTCCGGGCTCCAGGGAAGCAGCATCCGTGTATTGAACCATCTGCCACGCCACATTCAACACTGCCTTGTGCTCCTCAGGCGCGCACATAGGTGCTTCAGCTGCTGCTGCACCTGCTGACCCCCTCACCCTTCTCCCCTTCCCTGCACCTCCACCACCCCCTTTTCCTTTCCTCTTCCCGCCTTTTCCATTTCCAGTACTATCCCCTTCCTCAACAGTACTCGTCAACCCATTATCCAAACTCGCCTCCTTATAATCACCTCCAGGAAACAACATCCCCCTTGCCTGAATCTCCGCCAGTGCCGACCGGTCCCGCCGCCAGGACTGGCTGTTGACGAGCTTGAGCAAGTCGGTGCCGCCCTCGCGGGCGATCTGGCGCAGGCAGGCCGTGGCCCGGGCCTGGTTGGCGGGCAGCTGGTTGCCCAGCATGAGCGCGCGGTAGTCAAACAGCGAGTTCACCGCCAGCACGGGGGACGACACGACGCGTAAAGCTTGGTGCGGGAAGAAGCAGCGCCACTGGTTGGCCGCGGACATGGCTGCACGAGGGGAGTTGAGGGGGAGCGGGAGGGGGGATGTAGAGAGAGTGAAGGGGGAAGAAGAAGTGAGGATAGGGAGAGGAAAAAGGGGAGGGGAGGGGGCGAGGAAGCAGCACCATGGCCCCATCAGTATGGACTGCAGCACCAGTTGACTCACTTTGACTGCAGCGCCAGTTGACTCACTTTGACTGCAGCGCCAGTGGACTCACTTTGACTGCAGCGCCAGTTGACTCACTTTGACTGCAGCGCCAGTTGACTCACTTTGACTGCAGCGCCAGTGGACTCACTTTGACTGCAGCGCCAGTTGACTCACTTTGACTGCAGCGCCAGTTGACTCACTTTGACTGCAGCGCCAGTTGACTCACTTTGACTGCAGCGCCAGTTGACTCACTTTGACTGCAGCGCCAGTTGACTCGCATGTTGTGCAGCGCCACCGTGGCCTTCACCATGCCTGCAAACGCCCGCCGCTTTGTGCGGTCCTCCGCATCTGGCGGGCAGGAGGGTGGGCGAGGGGGTGGGCGAGGGGATGGGTGGGCGGGTGAGGTGGGCCAGCTTGCGGTTCAGTGCGTTGGTGCTCACACGGAGGACGCACCAATCAAACCAACCATTGAATTCCAGGGATTCATACTTGATTGTCGTGCTCTCACGCGCCCACCCACGAAAAGCCCCGCCCACCCTCGACAAGCCCCGCCCACCCACGAAGAGCCCCGCGTCCATGATGCACTTGACGAGCGCGCTAACAGCCCCACTTGCTGCCACCCATACCAAGAGCCCCACGAGCAGCCCCAATTGTCCTCACCCAGGAACAGCCCAGCGTCCATGATGCACTTGACGAGCGCGCGCGGGAAGAGCAGCGGCAGCAGGTCGCACAGCGTCACCACCGCCTGCCCGCCCGCCGAGCTGCCCGACAGCAGAATGCGCGCTGGTGCCGTCATGCCCCTATTCTTGCGCAGGTCTGGACGAGGGGGAAGGGGGGTTAGAGGGGGAGATGGTCAGTGGGTGGAAAGGGGGACATTGCCTGCCTGCACGCCGAGCTGCCCGACAGCAGAATGCGCGCCGGCGCCGTCATGCCCCTGCTCTTGCGCAGATCTGGAAGGGTGAAAGGGGGGTTAGAGAGGGGGAGATGGTCAGTGGGGGGGAAAAGGGGACACCGCCTGTCTGCCCGCGGAGCTGCTCGACAGCAGAATGCGCGCCGGCGCCGTCATGGTTAGTGGGGGTGAGAGGAGCAATGGTGGGGTGGGGGAACGGGGACGGGAACGGGGACGTGGTGAGTTGGGGTGAGAGCAGTGGAGTGGGGACGAGAGGTGGGGGAGAGACGGGGGACAGAGAGTAATGCGAAAATGTCGTTCTAGCAGCAATGCAATGGCGTGGAATACGCACCGCCGAGAATGGCGTGGATGATTCGCCAGCCGTCCATATGAACGCCCTCGCTGCCATTGCCCGCCGCCTTGTACCCCGCGCGCCCGGCGAAGCCCCCCCCATCGCAGTAGACGGGGCGCACGAGGTGCCAGTTGTAAAAGGTGGGGTTCGTGGCGGCATCCGCACTCGTTATGCCGCGCGGGGGCTGCACGTATGGAAGGGGGGGGGGGGGGGGGGGGGGGGGGGGGGGGGGGGGGGGGGGGGGGGAAGAGGGGGAGGGGGGGGTGGTGAGGGAAGCCGACGAGGGAATGCGGCCGGCGGGGAGGTGAGTGAGAAGCCAGCGGTGGAGCGGGGCGCGAGAATGAGAGTGTGTCGGTGCTTCGGATTCGCGCGCCAGCAGCACAGGGTGCTGGCTGGGGAGGGCGAGTATCGTGGCAGATCGGGGCAGGCTTTTGCTGTGCGTCGTGGGGGCCGGGCAAACGCACGGTGGGGATGAAACATACGGGGGTGATGGATGTGGGTGGTGGGGGACAGAGGGGAGAGAGCGATGAGCTGCGATGGCGGTGTCACGGGTGGGGGGTGACGACAGCGGGGAAGGATGTGACGGCGGGGAGGGATGGGACGGCGGGGAGGGATGGGACGGCGGGGAGGGATGTGCCAGCGGGGAAGGTTGTGACGGCGGGGAGGGATGTGACGGCGGGGAGGGATGGGACGGCGGGGAGGGATGGGACGGCGGGGAGGGATGGGACGGCGGGGAGGGATGTGCCGGCGGGGAAGGTTGTGACGGCGGGGAGGGGTGTGACGGCGGGGAGGGATGTGACGGCGGGGAGGGATGGGACGGCGGGGAGGGATGGGACGGCGGGGAGGGATGTGACGGCGGGGAGGGTTGTGACGGCGGGAAGGGAAGTGACGGCGGGGAGGGTTGTGACGGCGGGGTGGGATGTGACGTTTCGGCAGCACTGTTTGAGGTGTGGAAGAATGCATGGGGGAGTTGGATTGTAGGAGAAAGGAGAGAAAGGACGGGGAAGAAAGGGAGAGGAATAGGGATGATGGGGGTAAGGGATTTTGAGGAAGGGGGAAACCGCGGGCGGGGTAGGACAAGGCGACATGAGCAACTCACAGCATCGGGGTCGCCGTTGTCGTTGCTCGCCTTTCTGCTGCTGCGGCTCCCTGTGGGCATGCCGTTCTGCAGGCCACGCGTGGAGCCGAGCTTGGACTTGGAGCGCGCCAAGCACTTGTCCAGCGACGCGCACCACCCGCCGCCCGGCAGGTGGATGTGCCACCACCCACTCGCCTCGCCGTAGCCCTCCCGGTACTGGTACCCAGGCGGACTGTGCGCACGTGGCAAGCGGCGGGAGGAAAGAGGGAGGGAAGCAGGGGAGGGGTGGGAGAGTAAGAGAAGCGGCGCACCACCCGCCGCTCCAGCAGCGGATGTGGTAGCAGTGGTAGCACCAGCCAGCTAGATCGGTTCAGGCGCGCTGCATAGGACGTCGCGAGGAGAAAAGATGGGTGTGGGGAGGGTGAGGGTGAGGTAGAGCCTTTCACGCAGAAAAGGAAGTGGGGCTCAGACGAATACCGCCAGTGGATGGATGCTCATGGCGGAGTACCGTGTGGTAGGGCGGAGGGCAACGAGGCACGAGAAGGGTGAACAACGATTAACGGGGGTGCGAGAGAGGCTGTACTTTGTACCGTGTGAGAGGGGGGAGGGGAGAATGTGCCGAGGGAAAGGTATGCAGGTGATTCGAGCCTGCCACTTGCACGGGCCTCGCGATAGCAGAGCGCAGTTTCGTCCATCCAGCTGCTACGGACCCCTCTCGCTCGCCCACTCGGCGCGCTCCTTAGCGCAGGCGTCGTACCTGCCGTCGAGGCACTTGGCGCCGTACGAGTTATTGGGGAGCAGGAAGTATCGCGATTGCGGCGCTGATCCACCTGCTTGACCGCTGCTTGTAGAAGTCGCTTGAAGTTTCGAACTGGTGTATGTGCCTTCAAGTGCCGCCCTGCGCGCCGATGCGTGCCCCACAGCGCTCCACGAGAGCGCGCACGCCAGCAGCCAGCAGCACGCCCATTGGCTCGCGCGACAGGTCGAGGACCTTCGTGTCTGCCCGACTATGATCCGAACCGTCGCAGCTCTTCGATCTACTCTCGCCGCCATCGGGGATCAATATACAGTCCACTAGGTACTTATGTGACGTGATGAGGTGCACCTATGATGCCACCGAATGGGTCATCGTTTTCGTTCTACGTTAATTTCAAGCTTGGAATGACAAACCGAGCTCTATCGTGAAATCGGGAGAGGTGGCTTGCTATGATTAGAGCGAATGAGCGGATGAATGTGACGCATCCACCATGCCGACGAGGCCATCGAACATAGTTGTCGAGGTAGCAACGCCCTGTGGCTGTGACACCAACTCGACGCTGTACTTTCTTCCAGTGCACCAACCCTGGGCTGCGGCGGGCCCTTCCTTCCAACCCTTGGCAGACCGTGGCCGACACGAGGGAGGAGGGCGGCTCGACGAGCTTGACTGTAGCATGCTCCATTCCACTCCATAACCAGTGCTTGAATTGGCCTCGTGCAAGTCTGTCGAAATTGGTCCTACGGTTTTGGAGGGGTTTGCACCAGCAGCAGCAGGTTTGCTCTTCATCAACCCCGCCTGTCTCTAGCCCCTCACAGCCACGAAAATGAACGCATGTCTCCCTTGCCACTCGCGGCCCGAACCTCCAATCAGACCGCGCCTCGGCTGTCGCTGCCACGATGAGGAAAGGGACACGGGGAGGTACGGCAGCGTGGCCCATTTTGTGAGACTCACCGAATATGGCGCAAAGCTTGATTAATCCAAATGTTAGGCCCCTTGGCCTAAATCCGCTAAAGAATAGCGGGGTCGACTAAGTCAAGGATGAAAACGCGGCGGAAGACTTTGGCGAAAGAGAGATTGTTGGAAAGTACTTCGTGGGACTAGAAAGTAGAAGGCAAGAAAGCTAGAGTGCCACGTGGCACTTGGGAATCTTGGAAGATAAGATGGGGATGAGTTGGAAAGTACTGCTCAAAGGGAACAATAAACCCCCCTTTAACACTACCCCCCTCCCATGGAGGCGACGTCCGCCGCGCCTGCAGACTGAAGGTACGCTTGGAGGCAAGCGTTGTTGGGAGACAGCGAGGACGAAGGAACCCAGCTGTCGTCGGCTGCATCGTAACCACGAACCAAGAAGTCGATGAAAGAGACACCCCCCTGGAGATAACGACGGTGCCTGAGGATGTGCTGGATCTGGTATAGTCGGGCTCGTCGGTGTCAACAGCTACCGGCAGTGGATTGCGATTGTTGAGATAATATCGAGACGTAAAGCACTTCAAGGAAATTCGTGTAGTACAGTAAAGTACCGATAGGCTGACGTCAGCAAAGCGCTACGCGACCTAGGATGACGTCAGCACGTAGCTATAGACTTCGCGAATAGTTACGTACCGTTTCAAGATAAGAACAGCACAGTACAGTAGGCGAACAGGTACTTTATTCTAGCTATATATTTTGTATGTTTGTCAATTTATAATATATTTGATTTCAGAGACATTTTGATCCTGAAACATATCACTACATAGACTTTATTAAGTCTAGACAAAGCCTTCATAATTGGCTTAACTCATATAAAGACTTCCGCTACGACTTTCACAACAGGAAGTTCCCATCCTAAGTAGTACGATCCTTCAAACTCATTTCAAATTCTAACATGGTATTGCGAGCGTCTTAGGATACTACGAACTTCCAACTACATATTCTACAACTATGTCTGGATCTCCACGGTCCAACAACGGCTCCTCTGTTACGAGCCCTTCACGCCCAACAGCGTCTCCAGCTGCTGATAATTCTAATCTGCAGCAACAACAACAACAACAACAACAACAACAACAACAACAACAACAACAACAACAACAACAACAACAACAACAACAACAACAACAACAACAACAACAACAACAACAACAATATCAGCAACAACCGATGTACGGCATGCCATTGCGCAATCAGCCCGTACACACAACTACAGCAGCGGCATCATCGACAGCAGCCGCCGCAACAGCAGCATCAGCAGCCACAACAGCTACAGCTGCAGTCACTGGTTCTTCTAGTCAACCGGGACAACTATCCAATTTCGTACCGACTGGACCTTACCAATATCAAGGTGCTTACCAGCCAGCAAATCTTCAACAACGTGTTAATGCTGCCGTCTTATCACTTAACCAGATGTTTCCAACTCCTATGAGCATTGATGGCTCCAGTTATCAGCGTGGTCAGATGCCACAAGGAAGTGACGGGTCGAACAACTCCTTCTCTTTTGGTCCTGCTGGACAAGGACAACAAACACAACAAGGGTCACAAGTGCCATCACTTTATCAGCTACAATCAGCTGACGGTACCGGAAATTATATTCCTGCTTCCGCAAATCCAACAAAAATTAAAACGACAACGCCTTTTAACGGTCAAGACTTTTATACATGGAGCTTTGAGTTTGAGCTTCTCGTTTAGACCGCGGGGTTCTGGCAGCTGTACGACGGCACAGCACCCTTTCCATCTCACGGGTCACCACTTCAACAAGCCACTTTTCGATCGGCGTCGCTGACTGCATACACAGTTCTCGTTCGTAATCTAACACCGACCGAACAGCTCGGAATTCGTTCTTTTCGTACCAGTGCCGCTCCCGCTGAAGCAGCTTGGTTATACCTGCAAGGGGTTCACATGGCAAAGGACACAGTCAACCAGAGTAAAATTTTGACGCAGCTGTCAAATATACAGATGATAAATGGCGAGAAGGTGACGCAGTATATCAACCGCGCTCGAAATTTGCGTGATCAACTTCAGAAGTGTGGAGGGTACTTCCCCGACGCTATGTTTCACACGGTGCTACTCGCGGGTCTTGGACCAGAATGGCGACAGTGTCGCTCTATACTTCGGATGGAAGCACAGTTGTCCGAGGGGGCACTTTGTGCCGCTCTCATCGTCGAGCAGCAGGATATGGATCTGCACAACGCTCGAGGAGGGAAAAAGATGGTAAACAATACAGTCAGTTTTTATTCTAATCCACGTCACAAGCCCGTTTGTTCCTTTTGTCGAAAAGCAGGACACACTATTGATACCTGCTGGTCGAAAGATAAACCATCTTGGAAGCGGTCTGCATCGAAACATACCAAAGATTCTTCAAGCGAAGCTGAGAAGCCGGACGCTACGAAGCAGAATACTGCGAAGCCGAACTCTGCGAAGCCGACTCCTACACCTGCCAAGACACAAAACAAAGAAGTTATTAATTGCATGACATCAGTTTCTACTGTCTACGACCCTGACGCTGAAGAACGTATTCACAGTAACTTCAACGATGAACTTCATACGCCTATACCACCCGAGGTCTACGCAAACCTTGCACATACCTTGGAAGGGCCCAACACTTGGTATCTTGACAGCTGTTGCGGCCAGCATATGTGTTCATCAGAAAATCGCTTCATCATCAATCAGCGTCGTCTTCAGAATCCGTGCGTTGTAACCGTCGCAAATAATCAACGTCTTACAGCACACTGGACGGGTAACGTCATTCTTGATTCTATTGACGAAGACTTCAGTCTTCACCTTAACGATGTACTCCTCGTTCCTCGACTTGGCTTCAATCTGATGTCATCTGCACAGCTCATGAGGAATGGCATTACTCTTCTTGGTGAACCGGGCAAGTTTACTTTAAAATATGGAGACAAGAAACTCGGCACGGCAATTGAACAGAACGGTGTGTTCGTTCTCAACTTCGTACCTGAACGCACCACTGCCGACTCCGAGAATATTCTCTCTCTTGGCCCATGGGAACATCGTGATGACATCGATTACACCGATGATACCGTTCCTCGTGATGGAGTTGTACCCACGTCTTCGACCACAGCTGCCGCAGTCATGCTGACCTTTGACAATCAAGGCTTGAATGACGTCCAGAACTCCCGAGATTATCTTGCTGGTGGTTGGGGAGATACAACGAATATGCCCACGGATGAAGGTACTTGGGGGGCACAGGCACCTGAAGACACCACTTAAAAAAAACACCGACTGATCGTGATCGACGTCTTCTTACTGAAGCAGAGCAGCGTGTTGCTGACATGGAAGTCCTCGACTCCGGACGACTTGTCGGTGTTGAGCCTAAACCTGCAGCATCAGATCAAGAGAGTGGGGAGTTAATTCTTTCACCTGGCGAATCCATCAACGTCGAAATCAAAATACCTCCTCCTAACCTTACCAGGTTCATCCCGCCAGTCACCGATCATGTTCACGCTGACGGTCATCGGCTGTTGTTATCTTTCTTCGCTAAC